TTTTTGTTTTGTTGGCTTGGGTGGGTGGAGAGGCAGGGTGGGGGGGGGGGGGCGGGCAGGTGGCGAGGCGCAAGCCATGGTGGTGACAGGAAGAACAACCTTGTAAAGGTTCCAACCCGCATGCGTCCGCGAGCACGCTTGCCGTCGATCCCTAAGCACCCTTCGCGATGTGAAGGCCTGTAGTTTAATGTTTGGCTTTGGTGGCCGTGCCAAAATCCCTTAATTTCACTGACTGCAGAGCAAGGAACGACCACAGCTGCCTCTTTTGGGCCGTTGCCTACCTTGCCGCCACTGAGACGAGAATTTCAATGCGTGACTCCTTGGATTTGAGGCCTACGGTGATAGAGGACTGGATACATAAATCAGTGGTTTATATCATGGTTGAACTGCTTTGGTTGTCGCACGACGGCCATGTTACGACTCTCAGGGTTGTCCTTGCAGGGAGTTCGAAACATGATGAGCATGAGACGGGCTGAGATGATGATGATGATGATGACACGGTTGCTGCTCGCAAGAGCACTAGAAACAATGGCAGCAAAACAGCAGCCACAGAATGACTATGTCAGTAGTTCACGGACAGTGTCAGTAGACGTGCTTCACCCAGCCAGACGGACGATAATATCGATCACACTTCAGAGTTGAAAGCAATCCTTGCCCCGCTGCAAGTCCTGGAACCCTGACAACAGCACGAGGAGGTTAACAAAGCAGAAGCGTAGGTCACTTGCCTTCAAGCCCACTTCGGCTGCCCCTACATATGAGGGCCCCTTTAACTTAGTGAAATGCCCCCATGTTTATTGCATGATCCTCGAAACTTTCCCTTTTCAGCTCCAACCTGCTGTCGGGATCGAATCTTGCAAATGGCCACAGGCGAACGCCCACGTGTTTGCTCAGGCACTGCTTCAGTCCTTATGCTTTTCAAGTCGGGAACAGGCTAAAAGGTCCAGTCTGGGCTCGCAGCCTACGTTCCACGGCGGCCGAAATGGTTGCACAGATCGAAACGGAATGTTGGCTCCCTACTCGCTTTTCTTGGCACCGCACGGGGAGTTCCAGCAAAATCTTCCAAAAACCTCGGTGGTTGTCGGCCATTTTCTGCCATAGCACGAGGAAGGCGACGTGGGTCGCGCGAAGGCGGCCCAGCTCCGAGAGGCGGAGTATAGTGATAACATCATGCTTTGGGGTTCATGGGTCTCGGATTTGGGACTAGAGCTAGGGCCTTTGAGGGTTCATTGTTGCTTATGGCAGAGTATCACTTATGGGTTTAGGATTGAGGGGATTAGGAGTTCGGGATTCAGGCCGTGCCACTTTTTGTTTAGGCTTTCTGTCGTAGATTTCGTAGTGTTCACGGTTTAAGGTCGGTTGCTCCGCAGCCCCGATTGAGGTGCGGTGTCTGGCTAGAATCGAGCCCAGTGGGAAAACGTGTCCACGGGGTTTACCATTTGGGGATCCTGCGGGGTGCAGCTGAGCAACTACTTAATGATTATTTCCTGGATTCCAGGTTTACCATACCCTGGATCTATGTGGCATTGGGTTTGCCTCACTTCGTTTCCGCGTGAAGCGATCGCGACCAATGCTGCAACAACGGTAATGACTCTAATGCTCTAGCCGACTCTAGCCTTTCCTGGGTGAGTCGTCCTGCCGTAGACCCAGAAACCTGAAGGCTTCAGCAGCAAGTTTATGCATACACGGTTTTGGGCGCTTGAGTCACACACAGGTTTGTGCGCAAGATGCTCTTCGCGATCCTGACCCGTTGACTCGCGCTCTACTTCTGGGCTTCAACAGCGTCGACGAATATGCAGAGTGGATCAGAAACGAAGCCTGCCTGTGCAGCAGTTCCTTCTACCGTGGTAATCTGTTTACCTTGGAGACCTTGCGCCCTTGTGGCTCTCAAGCCTAGGGCCGCAATCCCAAATGCTACACAGCCTCAAGCCAATTTACCAAGCCTCGAAGCCAAATCCAGTCATCAAGAATCCACACCATGGAGTTTGAAGGTAGTTTAGATACCTTCGGACATCAGAAGATTCGGAAGGGTGTACTTGCATTGTTGGTTGTAACAGCCAATGTGGGCAGCATGAGATTTCAACACTCACACAACAACCCGGTCCGCCCCCCTGCAGGCCCAACAACTTAGGCCCACGTGCTGTTTCTCGTTGGAGCACATGTATTTGGGCCAGTGGCTTGTTTTGCATCTTCACTCTTTACGCAGAATTCGCTACTATTCCACAACGCCCGACAAAAGTGAACCGAAGAGCCTAGCCTACTAGTAGCGGTTTGAAAGGGTGATACATGGCAGAGCTTGGCCGCTCGGTTGACGCTCTTGTCCTGGTCGCCCGCACTTCCATGGGAGCCTTCATTTGAGTTTGAGATTTCGGTTCAGGACGATACTTCGGGGCCGTAGGCTCAACCATGACTCGGAAGTGAGTGGCTGCAAGGAGTTCCATTGGGGTGGGGAAAACGAGCATCTTGCCAGCAGGAAGAGTACAATGCACTGGTCTGCATGCCGAGTGTAACCACAAGTTTCATGCGCAGGGATGCTGGGGAGAGACACATTCCCGTGTGCTTCGGTTTGGAAATAGGGGATGGGTAGAATGCATCGTTGCAGCAGTGGCTCATGTCGGCTCAGGATTATAAGCCTTGCCAAGCACTATGGCCCGGATCTTAAGACATTCTCGCAGCGTGCGATTTGCAAGGCGCTTCAACAATGAAGAATGGCGAGTAGATTTCAATTGGCACGGCCGATGAGTATGACATCTGTCTCAATGTATTTGGGATCTCGAGACCTGTTTCCATGCGACTGCAAACTTGGAATGTCCTGTGGAGTTTCGCCGCAGGCCTTGAAGTCGCTGTTGTCTGCTGTGAGTCCATGCAAGGCCGGCATCACGTGGAATTTACACTTCTCATTGATGATAAACAGTTTGTCGGAAGCAGAAGATTCGTCGTTGCACCAACCTGGACCCCATGTCCTGGAAATAGCGGCCTCATTGTTCATTACCTTTACTAGTTGTCATCTGCCTGTCCAAGGCCTGGCATCCCAACCTTGGTCAAGTTGTTATGAAATTTGAAGCGCAAAACCCAAACCCCCAAAGTGGACGAGGCCTAAAAACAGACGGGCCCCACAGCCACACGCTTGAAGCTTTGAATGCACATCCGGCTTCAACTGCTTCCCTGCGCAGTGCTGTGTTACGGCTCGGACCTCCCTGCCTGCTCCGCGCGGCGGCTTGGCATGAAACGATATTGTTGTCATCGCAGAGTTTTTTGTCGTGCTGTGTGTTCGGGGTTGTGTAACCAGTCGTCTTCGTCGCTGCTGCAAGATGGTTTTGAAGATGAAAGTGGTGATGCTGATGATGATGACGATGATGGTGGTGAAGATAGCAGCAACAACAACAACAGCAGCAGCAGCAGGAGCAGCAGCAGTAGCATCTATTAAGGTCATGATGATTGTTGTTATTGTTATTGTTATTGTTATCATTATTATTCTTATTCTTATTGGTATTTGGATTATTGTTATTATTATTATTAGTAGTAGTAGTACAATCATTATTATTAGTATTGTTATTACTATAATCATTATCATTATTGTCATTACTATTGTTACCATTATTGTCATAATTTTTGTGAATTTACCAACGTTTTAAAATTTTCAATGAAGGAAAAATTGAAAATTTTACATATTTACATTTTCTGCAATTTTGAAAGTTTTCAAGATTTTCAATAAAGCAAAAATTGAGAGTTTGACATAATTAATTGGTTAAACAACTTTGAAAAATATTGAAATTCTGAAAATTTGAATCGTGGCCGAAACTTCGATATTCAGGACCTAACTTTCTGAAATCGTAAATTTTGTGAAATTTTCAATAAAGGAAAACTTGAGAATTTTAAGTATCTAAATTTGTATTAAAAAAATTGAAAGGATGATGATGATTATTATTATTATTTTGTTTTTTAATGCTATTGTTATTGTTAATATTTTTATTATTATTGTAGTATGATTTGTAGTATTATTATTAGTTATTGATTATTATTGTCGTTGTCATCGTCATTGTCATCGTCATCATTATCACAACTACAGTGGTTGTTGGCTCAATCTCCCTGTAAACACGCGCGACCGACATGCCGATTCCATCGGTATTTACGCTGTTTCCTCTGCTTCACATGCCGAACCCTCAGTATTTGCGGTGTTTCCTCTGCGCGAATTGCCTGAGAATCGACATTTGCGGCTTTTTGTTTACCTTGAGCCCATTGAATTACCAGCATGCTCGAACTGCAATAACGTGCCCGAACCGTCCACTCCCACTCCAGCTGAGCATGCACACGGCCTCTTTCAGCATCATCATCATGACCGCCCTCCTCATTTGTATCTTGTTGTTTGTTTTCCTCTGTGTGGGACAAGAGCCACTTCCTGCACGTAGAAGTCGTAAACCTGGTCTCCGGTGCTGTTGTTTTTTTGCTCGGGGAACCTTGGTTCCAAGACAACATTTGTGCTTTACTGTGCTGTGGGAAAGCGCTTAACGCGATTTTCGGATGTGCACGATGTTGTCTTGCACTTAACTTTCGTGGCGTGCATGGGACCAAAAGCATTTCGTGCAAGACGAAGTGGCGAACTTGGCAACAGTGAAGATTGCAGGTCAGGCGAAACGCATCTCACAGGTTCAGGCATTTCGACAAAGTTGGAGATTCACAAAACAATCAACAAATCATAAATTAAAAGAGCAATGTCCGCATGAACTTCCAGCCGTTCGAGCCGCGCAGGCCGGATAAAATGCATGCCGCCGTCACAGGGACCTGCGCACGTTTACAGCAGGATCGAGCATGGTTGTTGTTGCATTGAGCATGTGGTGATAAGTGGTTTTCGCCTGTGGTGTGCATACTGCTTTCTCTCTTCGTTTGTACTGGTACTACTGTTGTTTGTTGCTGCTGGTGCTGCTGCTGCCGCCGCTGCTGCTGCTGCTGCCGCTGCTGCTGCTGGTTTCGTTGTTGTTGCTGCTGTTGTTGTTGTTGTTGTTGTTGTGCTTGTTGTGGTTGTTGCTGTTGCTGTTGATGTTGTGCTGTCATCGTTGTTGTTGTGGGTGAGCTGGTGGCGGTTGTCGCAGTTTGTGTGCATCTGTGTGTCGGTTGGTTTTGCTGCTGTTTGGTGGGTGTGCTTTCAGTTGTGGCCGGTGTTGTGGTAGTGGGTGTTGGTGTTGGGGCTGTCGTTGTTGCTGTTGTTCCTGCTGTTGTTGTAGCTGCTGCTGCTGCTGTTGCTGTTGCTGCTGCTGCTGCTGCTGCTGCTACTATTGCTGCTGCTGCTGCTAGTGCTGTTGCTGTTGCTGTTGCTGTTGTTGTTGTTGTTGCTGCTGCTGCTGTTGTTGCTGTTGCTGCTTCTGCTGTTGCTGTTGCTGTCTTACTTGTTATTGTTCTTAGTTCTTGCTAGCGCATGGATTGCTGTCGTGCGTTTCTGCTGTTTTCGGGGTTTGCTCTTCCGGTCTTGGGTGGGGGGGTGTGGGGGGGGGGGGGGCGGATAACGTCCAGTTCGCAACCATCATCATGCTACTTCCTGTGTCGCAGCAGCCGGGCTCTGCTTCTGGGGTTAGAAGTGCAGCTATGCCTTTCGGTGCTGGGGTATGCACTCCCACATTTTTGGAAGCGTTCAGCAATCTCTTGGTGCTCATCGTCGCTGGCCTTCCTCCGATACCAGCTCTGCGTGACTTCTGGGATGCTTCCTTTCTTCGAACTGCAGGAAACCCACCGCGTCCTTTGTCTTTCAGTCGATGAGACATCTGCAGGGGCCATGGTTTCCAGCGTCTTGTTGGGCCCAGGGCAGCACTGGGTTTTCGCTTGGGAACGGTTGGAGGGGTTCTCGGCGGACTTGTGTCGTCTCTCTGAGCCGCTGAAACGTCGACCTGGCACGGCTGCCGTTGCATCGTGCGTGCGCATACTAAGAAATGTGCACACTGCTTCAAGCATCTTCCCTCTAAGACCCTCCACACAAAACAGTAACTAGATAGTCTTCCAGCCCGAAA